AGGCATCCTTGTTTGGTTCTCATTCCAAAAGGAATTCTTTCAGCCTCTCTCTGACGGGATTCTGTGTATGTATATTCTTAATTATGTTGAGGAATTTCAGGAACTATGTTGAGAGTTTTTTCAGGAACAGATGTCAGATTTTGCCAAATACCTTTTATTGATTGATATGGCCATGTGATTCTTTTATTTAAACTATGAATTACACTGGCTATTTTTCTACTGTTGTACCAACCTTGTATTATTGTTGTTGTTGTGTACTGTAGAGTCAGAACCAACCCATAGGTGACTGTCCAGCAGGTTTTCAGAGGCAGTTAATCGCACAGGAGGAGATTGTACATACTTCTCCTGAGCCAACTTTGCATACGTGATATAAATTCCACTTGGTTATGATAAGTGATTTATTTCACATGAAGTTGAATCCCATTGGCTAGGATTTTGTTGAGAATGTTTGCTTGTACATTCATGAGGGTCAGTGGATTTGAGCATGACACAGAGTGTGAGGATGACGAGGACAGGATGAGGTTCAGACCCATTGTTTCCAGGGCTGCAGTGAACCATAGTCAATTTGATGGCACCTAACAACAGCACAGTCTGGAGGAATATTGCTCTGTGGTTGCCTTTTTCCATGTCTTTACCTGACTTTAGCATCAGAGTTGTGATCACGTCATGGAATTGGGGGGTGGGGGGACTCTAAACTTATTCCTCACTTCTGTGCAAACTAAATGAGGGGTGACTCTGAGAATGGAGTTCCAAGTCTACAATATATTCTTCTTATCTATAAATACTGATGAAAACGGCCTGTCCTCTGAGGTGAACTTTCTTATTTTTAAAAAACAGCTAAAATTCTTTCTATTCAAGAGTGAATACCTGAGTAATCAGTATGTTGTTGTTGTTGTTATGTTGTTAAGTGCCGTCGAGTCCTAGGCGACTCATAGCGACCCTATGAATGCAAGTCCTCAACACTTGTGTGACTTTCATCCTTTCTCCAGGTTCATAGGGTTTTATGGATTTTTTAAAATAAGAAAAATAAGTAAAACTTTTTCTTATGAGTAGTTTCTTGCTGCTTACATACTAGTTCTGAAAGTAACATTATTTTTGAGCAAATATTGCCATAATTTCTTCTGAACAGGAAAAATCTTCACTTCTAACCTGTACCTTATTTCATTCTGACACCTTAAAATATTTAAATTTAATTGTTGTTGTTGTTATGTGTCGTTGTGCCACTTGTGACTCATAGTGACCCTGCATACAACAGCTCTAAAGCCTGCCCTCGTCTGAGCCTGTCTGACTCCAACACACCTACACTCATATTTCTAAATAAATCTAATCCTATAAAAAAGCAAAACTAATCAAATATTCCTTGAAAGCTAAAAAACTTTACATTTACTTTGCCAAGTTGCCATATGTTGATATAGGCCTATTAACACCTGCATATGACATCCTAACATGAAGATATCCAGGTAAAGAAAGTGTTTAGAAGTTGAATAAGTATTTTGCATTTTACTTAGTTTGGTGCCTTTCTGATAAACCAGAAAGCATAGAAATCCAGACGGCTTTATAACTGTGTGGTCTTCCACACATCTGATGCACTTAGATTTTCTTTTTAAAAGAATTAACTATCATTTGAACTCTTTAAAATCTCTTCCCATATTTTCCAACAAAGATAGTATGTAGCTAGCATAAGGCCTGCAAAGAATCACTTGGTCCACTACATTTTCCAAAAGCATTGTTCCCCAAGCACCTGTTGTTGTGTTGTTTGATGCCGTCGAGTCGTAGACGACTCATAGCGACCCTATGAATGAATGGCCTGAGCACTGTTCATACATAGAGTTTCTGGAGGCAAGTCATTTCGGAAGTGGATGCCGCTCCTGCTTCCAGGCTTGATTTAGTCGGGAAGCTCCAGCCAACACTGTCCACCATGGGTACCCATTACCACGATTGGCACATCACTGTCACAGTGTTTAGCATCACAGCAACCACGAGTTACCTCTGTACAGCAACGCACAGACCAGTGCTATACCACCTAGAAGAATGTTTGACAAAAGCATTGTTCCCCAAGCACCTAAAGATGGCAAATTCAGTTCTATTTTTTTAAAAAAATACTTCCTGTAAAGGAGTTTTCCTCAGTAACTTTTTTCAGAGTCATGAATTCTAAAGCTAAATTAAACTGTAATCCCCAAGACATATGGTTCAAATCCACAAGCTGCTCTGTGGAAAAAGTATGAGCAGTCTCCTCCTGTGTGATTTACTGCCTCTAAAAACCTGCCAGACGCTTAGCTATGGGTTGATTCCAACTCAATAACACACAACAGCATGGTAAGAAAGACAGACGTCTCACTGATAGGCTTTTTAAAGAAGCATTATTCCTTGTGGAATTTACTATTCCAAACAGATTAAACTGTAAATGAAGAGGTTTAAGCTGCACTAAAGACATTAACAAAAAAAATAAATTCCCAAGAATAGATGGAATGTCAGCTAAGTTATTTCAGCAAACAAAAGTAGCCCTGTACATGTTCACTAGTCTATGTCAAGAAATTCAGAAGATAGTTTACCTGGCCAACCCATCCGCAGAGATCCAAAAAAGTCCAGATTTTGTATAGTTCCAAAGATAGGTGATCCAGCAGAATGTGGAAATCATAGAACAATAACATTATGATTATTTTAAAACAGCTGGAACAGCATATCAACAGGGAACTTCAACCGAAATTTAAGCTAGATTCAGAAAGGACCGTGGAATAAAGGATATCATTGTAGATCTTAGATGGATCTTGGTTGAAAGCCACAAATAACAGATATTTACTTGTATTGTCATGACCATACAAAGGCATTCGACTGTGTGGATCATAATAAATGTTGTCTAACACTGAGAAGAACTGGAATCCCAGAACCCTTCAAAGGGCTCAGGTGAGACCTGAAAGTAGACCAAGTCCTATAAACAGAACGTGAAGAGGATGCTGAACGGTTTTAAATCAAGAAAGGTGTGCACACAGCTGTAGCTTTCCTCCACACCTATTGGGAGGCTGAACTATATGAAGGAAAATGTGCCACCAGGATACTGGAGGAAGAGTCACCAACAACCTGTGTAACACAGACGACACAACCTTGTCAAGAATGGTTTTGCTTACTGAAGAAAATCTAAAAACTATAGGCTTCAATATAGATTACACCTCAACATAAAAAAAAAAATTCTTCACAAATGGACTAATAGGCAACATCATGTTAGATGGAGAAAAGGTTAAAGTTGTCAAGGATTTCATTTTCTTTGCATCTATTAACAACACCCATGGTAGAAGAAGTCAAGATGGGTTGCACTGGACAAATCTGCTGTCAAGGACATGTTAAGGAGCAAGCATGTCAGTTTTCAGACGGTTGTGCACCTGACCCAAGCCATGGTCTTTTCAGTTGCTTCATATTGGTGTGAAAGTTGGACAGTGACTAAGGAAGACAGAAGAAGAATTGATGCAGTTGAATTGGGTTGTTGGCCAAGTACTGAATACATTGGCCATGTTGCGTGTGGTGCTGGTTCTTGGGGAAAAACTATCATGCTGAGTAAAGTAGTAAAAGAGACAAAGATCCCCAATGAGCTGGATGGACTGATGCAGTTACTGCAAGTGTGGGCTTGAGCATGGAAGCGATCATAAGGATGAGGCCAGAGAGGGTATGGTTTCAGTATGTTGTTCGTAGGGTTACTATCTGTTGTGGCATCTACTTATCAACAACAAATGAGGGAGATTTTTTTTTTTCTTTGAAGTACGGATTTCCTAATACAGACCATTGTTGTTGTTGTTGTTGTGTACCATCAGGTCAGAGTCAACCCAAAAACTGACTCTCCAGTGAGTTTTCAGAGGCAGTTAATTGTAAGGGAGAAAACTGCTCATCTTTCTCCAGCAGACCAAGTGGTGGGTTTGAACTGCATGCCTTCAGGATTGCAGTGCAGCTTCTTGCCCCTAGGCTAACAGAGCTCCCTTTAAAAAGGGTGAAATGCTGTGGCATTTGGACAAGAACAAACTGAGAGGAGGGTAGAGAGAATAGTGCAACAATGAATGAATGGAAACCCAAAATCTCTATAAATGTTTATGAAAATTAATAAAATATAATTATAAAAAAAGGATTAAATGTATTTTATAACATCTTCTTTTCCAAACATTCTTAGGACAGTGATCTTGTTTGTTTCCATGAGATAATCATGGCGTTGAGGAAAATGTACGTTACATTTATTTATTTATTTATTTTTACTCTAGAGAGAAAACACTTGTGGTATTTACTAGAGAGCCAGCTTCTCTCTTTATTTAAAAGAAATGAATTTAATGTTATGTTGTTCCATCATTTTTTAGTTAGTCCAATCATCTACATTTGAAAATCAAATACATGTTATAAATGCAAACTAAAGAGAGAAGTTATAGTGGATAGAAGTCATCCTTTCAATTTCTTCTAATTTTAAAAAAGTGCCTGATGTGTGTAAAGAAAGAAGGGACGCTATGCACATTTTGGTTGATGGCATATAAGAACGACAAATACACAAATTTAATTTTACAGAGTGCAGAATCTAAACAAATGGGAAGCGGAATGTTTATTTCTCAAAAAATATATGACTATGAGTCATTCAAACCACCAATCATTTCATTTCTCAGTGATATCAGTACTCAACTTGGTTCAGTTGAAATGTACTTCCCTATGAAAAAGAGAACATATTGAGGACGATGAGTGATATCACAATTCCTTATAGGAAAGACAAAGCTCCCAGCAAAAACTTCAGTGTGAAAGTGACCCTAAAAGGTACAGCTAAAGAGACAGTAAAAGGGGCCCTGACTGTTATAAGTAGAGCCATCAATATGGATAAAATTGGCCAAAAAAAAAGCAGTGGTAAACTAAGTGCCTGTGAAAGCCATCTAACCATCTGCAGAGGGTTTAGATAACCGGATGCAGATCAGTAGCTGATTAGAAGAAAGAGGCTTACATGTTCTAGGGAGTCTGGAGGGGCTGTGTGTGTTCAGCTACGATTACAGCGAGAAGAGCTTATTGAAGCAGGGTTGGCAATAGGTCTTGTCATTCTGTTCCCTGAAGATGCCCTTGGATAACTGCGTCAGGCAGAAAGCGCACACGAAGTGCTCCGGGTGGAACTTGTACCCCATGGCATTGATGCAGCGGCCGGTGATGGGCTGCTCACACCCACGGCAGAGGGTTCCTCGGCGGTGGTGGTAATGAAACTCGCAGAAGGGGCGTCCATCGAGTTCAAAGAAGGAACCAGTAGAGAAAGTGGTGAAGCAGTCCTAGGGGTGAGAAGAAAACAGGGAAAGAAACACAGATATTAGAAAGCAAAACTCTAAGGCAAAATAAAATCTTGTGTCTTTGTTTCTGCCAGTTCCTGTCAGTCCCTGGAATCCACATGGTTTGGCAACTGAGGGCTTGTTTGCGAAGCAGACTAGAAGATGTCCATAGCAGCTGCTCTGTTCCGTTTCTCCCCACACCAATCCCTTTAGCTCCACATTAACCCTTCTCAACACATATCAAGTCTATAGCCAGAACTGTGGACCCTTTATTACTAGCAGCTCTGTGTCTCAAAGAGGAAAACTACTCTCCCTAAATTCAAAGGTAAGTGAGTATACAGACCCCACACACAAAGCACTCCGGGTGCCAGACAGTGTCCATGGCTGACAGGTAGTCCTGTAACACGGGGCGGTTGCAGCCACCACATTTTGGTGAGAACATGGCTAAGAAATCCTTCTGGCAATATGGCTTCTTGTCCTTCTCGTGAAAGCCTGGGGAGATAAAACAGAGTATAAAACTACCGGTGGGGTTTGAACTCTTAAAGTTAGTTTAGAGCCTGATAAGAGGTCAATGATAACGTCTCTCAATCTCATCTTCAGAACATTGTTAGTAATAGAGGTCGCCCTCAGAGGGGTCTTACAAGAAATGCCTGAAATAAGGCAGCTGGAATGGTTTAGCATCACGCCTCATTCCTAAGAAGCCTGATTCAGCATTAGTGACAAGTCTCAGTATTTTCCAACCAGCTCTCCTCTTGGCCAGAACCATTCTGTCTCAGATCTTAATCTGACTGCCTCTTGTTGTGATTCAGGAATCAACTGAGAACTTAATCAAACAGGCCTCTCCTCATTCCTTCTCTATCACTTCACCCTCCTCCCCACCCTCTCGCCCCACTTTCTAGCATTTACCACTGTACAAAATCATCTTATTTTATCTTGCTTCTCTCAGAACATTCGTTCAGAAAAACCAGACGTTGTTGCTCTTTCTAACAATTTTATCTGTAATATTTAAATGAACACCTGGGGGGAAAAGTGTGTTCTATTTAAAAATAAAATGTTATTAACCAGTATTAGAGGTAAGGTTACCATTAGATGGTACCAAACCATTATACCATTAGAGGGATAAAAGGTATTAAAGGTATATTCCAGGAAGGAAGTCATTAGAAAATGAGGAGAAACAACTGTAAACATTCACAATAATTGGTGTGAAGAAGAATGTGGCTTCAGGATTGAAGGAAGACTCAACAGCCTATGTTCTAGAGATGACACAACCTTACAGGCTGAAATCGAGGAGAACTTGAGGTGCCTGATGCAGAACATGAAGGACTACCGCTTTCAATACGGATTACATCTCAACATCAAGAAAGCAAAAGTCCTCACCATGGGTCAATAGGCAACATCATGATCAGTGATTTCATCTTACTTGGTATCAGCAATCAAGCTGTGAGGGAAGTCTGCCATCAGGGACCTCTCCAGAGTCCTGAAGGGTAATGATAGCAGTTTAAAGGCTAAGATGTCCCTAATTCAAGCCACAGTCTTTCCAATTGCCTGCTATTCATATCAGAGCTAGACAACGAATATGGATGACAGAAGAAGAATTGATGTCTTTGAGTTGTGGCATTAGAGAAGAGTACTGAATATCCCGTGGGCTAAAAAACAAACAAACAAAAACAACACAACACAAAAACTATGTCTTAGAGAAGGTGCAACCAGAGTGTTCCTTAGAGGAAAGGATGCCAAAGCCTCATCTCAGGTACTCTGGGCATGTTGTTAAGAGAGGCCATTCCTTAGAAAGGGATATCATGCTTGACAAGGTGGAAGGTGAGCAAAGAAAAGGAAGACCTTCGATGAGACAGACTGACACAATGACTATTCAATGCACTCAAGTGTGGTCTCAGTGAGTTCATATCTATTGTTCAGCATCATATGTCTAAATGTCTATATGTTATACTCAGTAGCACACAATAACAACAAACAATAATAATCCTCCTTACTCAAAACTAAATTTGTGAAAACAAGAATATCTAGAAATATTCTGCAGGGAGGGGGAGAGAAAAGGTATTTATGGTTTGCTTATCCCTACATGGGTGAGAAAGGCGTGCAACCAGGTTCTCCTGATCACAGTCTTAGAGAGTCTATGGGGCTATTAGGGGTGGGGATTAGCTCGGTAGTAGTGGTTGTAGCCCGTCATGTATTATATTATTGGTAGGTTAAATCACATTTCTTTCACTCATAGCAAACCTATACAATAGCTATCAGTTTAAAGACTAAGCTGGGCCTCATCCAAGTTGTTATTTTCAGTTTGCTTCCTATGCATTTGAGAGTTGAACAATGAATAACAGGAGAATTAATGCCTTTGAACTGTGGTATTGCAGAAGAGTCATGGATGTCGCATGGACTTCCAAAAGAACAAACACATCTGTCTTGGAGCACTACATCACTCCAAGGCGCTCCTTACATGCAAGAGTAGTGAAGCTTCACCTCACACACTTTGGGCATGTTGTTGAGAGAGGCCAATCCTTGAGAAAAGATACGAAAGGTGGAAGTTCATAGAGAGAAAGGCCTTCAATAAGATGGATTTACATAGTGATTTTAACAGGGGGTTGAGCATATCAGAGATGATGAGGATGGTACAGGATAGGACAAGGTTCATGTTGTTTATAGGGTTTCTACGAGTCATGGTCAACTCAACAGCATCTAACAACTCTATGAGGCTAAGTTTCATCTCACATGTTGATGGCACAGTGCTTAAGCACTCAACTGCTATCAGAGAGCTCAGCCAGTTGTTTCACAAGAGGAAGACATGGTATATCTGTGAGTACTATTCTAACAACTTGATGGCATCTAACAACAGTGAGTGATCAGTTTTAGGGGAGCTCTAGTCACCTAGGCCATAAGGACTGTTTACAGACAGCTTTAGAAACCAGATGAAGGGTGAGCTAGGACTTGGTTCCAAGACAATGACAATGAGTTGGGCCATGATGATTAATGGAGATCTTTAAAATGCAGTCATCTGTCTGATACAGTTTTCAGTTTTACCATTAACAACTGTGCTACAGCAAGCCATAGCATATCTCTTAAGGTTATTTAATAAAACATGTACAGCACCGATGGTATATAGCTTGTTCTTCTAACTCCTAAGGGGAAGAGGAAGATAGGATAAAAATGTAATTTAATCTCTAGACATTAAATGTCATTTTACAGAAAGTAAGGGGGATAAATAAAATTAGTTCATATCATGAGAAAGCAGTCAGCAAAGTTAAGAATTTTTGCTCATTTTGCAAGATGTGGACCCAGGGTTCTCAGCAGTATGAAAAAGTAAAGGAATAGAAGATTGCTAAAGAATTTTAGACATTTGAAGAGACAAAGCAGGCAAGTGAAATGGTTATTTTTCTTGGGTCTTGCCACTTCCATAATAGCTTGCCTCTGAAAACCCTATGAATCTGGAGAAAGGACAAAAGTTATACAGGTGTCCAGGATTTTCATTCATAGGGTCACTATGAGTTAACTACGACTCAATGGCACTTAACAACAACAACACTTGATTTTTAAGAGTCATGGAAATTACCTTCTCCATTCTCCAAAAGAAATCTGAGGGATTTAAATAGGGGTTATAGGAAGTATAGAGCTGTGGTGTCAACTCAAAGACACATAATTGGACTCCACCAGCTTCTCCATGACAGAAAGAAGAGAAATCTCCTCCCCTGAAAAAATGTTGTTGTTGTTGTTGTTATGTGCTGTTGAGTCGTTTGCGACTCACAGCGACCCTGTGTACAACAGCCCTAAACCCTGCTCTATCCTATGCCAATCGCACTGTCTCTGACACACCCATCCCGATTACCCAAGTCACTGAATCAATCCACCTCATAGAGGGTCTTCCCCTCCTACGCCATCCCTCCACCCTCCCAAGCATGATGTCCCTCTCCAAGGACCCGTCACCCCTGGCAACATGTCCAAAGTATGTCAGACGAAGCCCCAGAATCCTTGCTTCTAAAACCAATGGAAGGTACACTATGAATCAGTTCCAATTCAACAGCACATAACAACAATATTTAGGTGGTAATAGAAAATTATTGTTAATTTTGTTAAGTGTGAATACTCATTTTTTAAAACCCCATTAAATTAAAGATGATACATATTTAATGGTGAGCTAAGATGATTTCTGGTGCTTGTTTCCAAATATTCAAGCAAAAAAAAATGTTTAAAAGTTGGGGATAATCTCTTCAGCAAAATATTGATATTAATTGAACCTAAGTAAATAAGCTTCTATGTGTTTGAAAATTTCCAAAATAAAAAGCTTAGAAACCAATTTGTTGAGCTGTAAGTGCTTTCCCTTTAATATGTGAAATTTTCACTGTTAGACACAGATAAGAAAATCTCTGGCTTTGGTTTTCATTAATCCCACATTCAAATAATGAACCAGCATTGAGGATAAGAAAGCTCATGTTGATTGCTTTAAAAAAATATTTTAAAATAAACTCCCTCACAAATAGGCAGACAGACAAGAAGAGATCATTTTAGGATTAGGTTCAACATGATAAGTAAACTATGAAAATTGCAAGAATAAAGTCCTATTTCTGTGATGTAAGTAGCAAGCACAGTGATAATAAATGCTTTCTTCCAGTGCTGGAAATACGTTGAGTCATGGTCGACTCAGTGGCACCTAACAATAGTAACAATGCTGGAAAACACATGGAAAAATCCACATAGTTAATTGTATGTGTCTGATAATAAATTAAATACTTTTTATCATTTCAGAATATTATTTGAGAATTTGTATCAAGAGTAACAGTAACAGTTACATATAGATTTCTCAATCCTGGGAATTAAACTATGTAAATAATTTAAAAGAAGGAAATATTAAATTTCAATATTTAATTACAGCACCAAAAGTAATCTAAATCTACTATTACGAGCACCTTTATTTGTATGGTATAGTGTTGCTAAAAATATGGCTTCCCTAGACTATTGTCTTTAATTTGACCCAGCTGCCCTGCAGGTAGGTGGCCCACCTACGTCATCAACAGCTGTTGAGACCAGCACAAGAGAAAGAGCTAGCCAGACTGCAGTGAGACTGTGGCACAGCATATCCTGATAAAGACAGGAGACTAAGGGCCAGAGCCCTTGAGACAGAAACTTCTATACCAGGATAGAGATAGAGAAGGAGTGCCATGTCCTTTGGGGCCAGAGGTTCCTGCACCAGAGGTAATTTGCTGTTGACTTAGAAGGTGCCTGGATGAATTGGGGGACTGTATGGTTCAAAATTGGGAAAGGTGTGCGCCAGGGATGTGTCCTATCTCCATACCTTTTCAACCTGTATGCAGAGCAGATTATCCAAGAGGCGGGGCTTTATGAGGAGAAGTGTGGCATTAGGACTGGTGGAAGATCTATCAACAATCTGTGTTATGCAGATGACACAACCTTGCTCGCTGAAACTGAGGAGGACCTCCTGCACTTACTGCAGAGGGTCAAGGACTGCAGCCTTAAGTATGGAC